CAAGCACGCGAGGACGCTCGAGGCTCTGGCGGTGATGCAGGTGATCGACCAATCATGAAGCTCATGCCCCAACACTGAGTAGTCAGTGCCAGTGCATTCACAAGGGAGTGACTCACGCTCAGGCGATCGGGCTCGACAAGACGGGCACTCTGACTACGGGCCACTTTGAGCTCTTGAGGCTGGAGCCTCTGCCCGGGGCGGCGCACACGCGGCAGGTACTGCACCGATGGGTGGCGGCTGTCGAGGACCAGGACAACCACCCGCTCGCGCGCAGCTTGGTGGCGAGCTACAAGGGCTGCGTCGCCGACTTTGTGGCCTCGGGCGAGAGCCTGCCCGCCACGAGCGGCTACCAGCGGCACGGGCGGGACGGCGTCAGTGCGACGGTCGAGGGGCGGCGGGTGGGCGTCGGGAACCTCGCCTTCCTCGAGGCGGCCTTGCGCTCGAGCCAGGCCGACGACGACGACGACGACGACGACGATGACGAGGTGGAGATGCCGCCGCGCCTGCGCGCCGCGCTCCGGAGAAGGCGCGAGCAGGAGAAGGCGGCGGCCGCCGCCGGAAAGGGCGAGCACGCGGGCGAGCCGCTTCCTGCCGCAGTTGCGGCAGCAGACCCTAGATGGGTGGACAGACAGACCCGTGTATTCAAGCCACCACTGTGGAGGAGACGCGCTCAGCGGTACTCGGCTGCACTCTGCTGTCTTTGCCGTATTCGTGGCCCTCGTACTCACGCGGTGCTCCGGGTACACCACGAGGCCGTCTCCACGCCCTGACTCTGGCGTGGTCACGGCGCAGGCAGCGGACGCCGCGCAGCGCCTCGCGGCGGAGATCACGAGCGAGCAGGCCGGCAGCGGCAGCGTGCTCTATGTGGTTGTGGACGGCGTCGTTGGCGGCGTGATGCTGCTGGACGACGCTCTCAAGCCGCAGGCGCAGCCGCGTAGTACAGCCATGCGCGCACACGCCCTAACAACTGCGGTGCGGCGCAGCAACGAAGCACCGACAACAAGACAGCCGTCCACACGACAGCCGTCCACACGACAGCCGTCCACCGCTGCCACGAGAGGTGCAGCGGCCGCCGCCGTGCAGCCGGCCCTCGTGGGCAGACAGCCTGGTGGACGGGTTCATGCATCAGCTAGGCGGCCGCCACCGTGCAGCAGCTGCGAGGCCTCGGCGTGCGCCCGATCCTGCTGACGGGGGACCGCTCGGCGGCGGCCCGACGCGTGGCGAGAGCCGTCGGCATCGGCGAAGCGGACACGCACGCGGGCTTGCTGCCGACTGTCATCGCTTGCCCGAGTAGCACATTGCAGTTGTTCACTGTGGCTGTGGTGTGTAGGTTTGCTGCCCGCCGACAAGCAGCGGATTATCCTCGCGCACACTTGGCCGCAAGACGAGCCCCGCGCGCAGGACCTGGAGCAGAGCATGCTGCCGAGGGCGGGTCGCGGCCCGTTGGTCGTGGGCTTCGTCGGCGACGGCCTCAACGACTGCCCCGCGCTCGCCAGCGCGCACGTGGGGATTGTGCTGCAGGAGGTGGGCACGCAGGCGACCGTCGACGCCGCGTCGGCGGTCCTCCAAGTGGACATCGACCAGCTGCCCGCGGCGGTCACCATCGCCCGACGCGCGCGCCGACTCGTGCTCACCAACCTCCTGCTCGCTCTCAGCATCAATGTGGCTGTCATCGGCCTCGCGGCGACGTGTGGGCTGCCGCTGTGGCTCTCGGTCCTCTCCGACTCTGGCGGCCTGCTCGTCGTCCTCGCCAACTCTCTCTGGCCGCTCACGTGGCGCGTCGGGCAGGCAGCGCCGCGGGCGCGCCACAACTCCTTTGGGCTGGGATGAGAGAGAGCGGCACACGCGGCGGCGCGCACCGACCCAGTCTCACACGGGAGCTGCAGCTGCGCATGGTAAGGTATAAACTTCTCCACACGCAAGTAATTTAGTTATATAGGGAGGTTCGGGTTGCGCAGCGTCCTAAAATCTGAGGGTTCACCGCGTCGGTTCATCCCTCGGTTCATCTTCATGATCTTGAGGCTTCGCTTCTATCTATAGTATAAAGTGTAAGTATCTCTAGTAGCCGTTTTGTACCTTCACGTTCAGTGATAGTGTCGAAAGACAAAGTGTGAGTTTATTGGTGTGGATGCAGGAACCAGGACGGCAGTATAATTTAAGAACGACGCACCCTCACAGAGCAGCGCAGAGCCGCACGCACGCGCTGTGTGAAGTAGAGCGCCGCGTTGCCGTCGCGGCGGTCGAGCTGCCGCATGCCGCTCGTGGATCTCGTAGTGCGAGCGAACGAGGTTCCGGGGGCTAGAAGTTCAGCACTCGCCTGCGGACAGGTCTAAGTTTTGGGCAAAAAACTTACTACCCAGCCTTTGATTTTGCAAGGGCGAGGGTGAGGGGGCGCATCGCGGTGCGGGGAAAAGGGCTGCGGCTGGGCACAAGGTGTCGAGCAGGGGCAAGCGATCTCGCACGCAGCCTTGGCGTCCTCGACCGACAAGTCTTCCACACAGACCTCCTCAAGGGGCGGTTGCTCGCCGCAATACCCCTCCATCTGCTGGTCGTCCAGGGCCCCACAAGCCAACGTTAGGCTCGCGAGCTCCTCGGCTGGGAAGAGGATATCCTCCCCGGTGATCGCCTGCAGAGCCGGCTCATCCAGGGTGGCGGCACACGCGCTTGTCGCCCCCCCCTGCGACCAATCCTGGAATTCGGCATAGGCGTACACCTGCGCGAGGCAGTGGAACGAGTTGAGCAGAGAACTTTTGACCGTGCATGCTCTGGGTGTGGCGGCGCACATTCTGGAAGTGTCCTGCCACTCTGGAAGCGTGCCACTTTTGGGATTTAAGCCTCAAGCCGGAGGAGTACGAGAAGATTGTCATCCTCCGCATGAACCGCGCCTTCATGGAGTACATGCGCCAAAACCACGCCAAGTACGCGAAGGCGTGAGCGAGGAGGCGTCGAGGCTGAGCGGGTCCCCCCCTCTTCAATGGTCCGCGGCGGGCGGCGGCGCACCGGGGTAGTCGCGCCCGTAGTCCGCTAGATTGCAGACTATCGCGGACCGTCAGAACTGTGCTAGTGCCGCCTGTGTATATGGGCACCTGAGATTGAGGGCCAGACCGCGTCCGCACGCGCGCACGTGGCGCAGTTGCGCGAGTTCGTTCGTTCAGCGCGGCTCGTGGCTGAACTGCACGCCGAACGAACGAACTTTACGATAATTTTCTTTTTTCCTAAGTTCGAACGGAGTTCACGAACGTTCGTTCGTTTTCGCAGTTCGCGCCTTCCACAGCCGGCGCGGTCCGTTCAGTTTCGAGGTTCGGGCTGGGCCCCGCCGGCTGCGTTCGTTCGAGTTCGGAGTTCGCGAAATCCGCGCGAACTCGAAGGGCTGGCTTAGGCGGCTCCGGTGGTGAGCCGGTGTGTGTGCCAGTCCGCGCCAGTCCGCGCCCTTGTCGTGCCAGTGTGCTGTGAGACAGGTTGCGCACTTGGAGCATTTGGAGTGCAGTCATTAGCCTCACATCCAGGGCGGGCTACTACAATTCTTTTTACTGAGCGCTGACCGACAACTCTCAGTCGTCGCCAGGCGCGTCCGCTCCGCCGCGTTGGTTCGGGCAGCACACGCCCCACCGCAGATCGCCGCCTGGCGCCGCACCCATGCGTCGCGATTTGTGACGGGGGACGGTTTCGCCTCCGTCCACCGGCGCGGGGTGTTCTGCCTCTGGCGACACACGGCTGCTGCTGGCGACCCTGCGTGCCCCCTCCGCCGCGACTGTCCGCCGGGCGTCCTGCGGAGCCCCGCCTGAGAGCCACGCGCGACTGTCGCGCAGGATCGGCCCGGTCTGCCGCGGCGTGGTCTGGGAGCGGCCTGAGCCATGTCGGCTATGGAGCGGAACTGCACGCTGCTGCTGCACGGCAAGGAGGCGACGCCGCCCAACGAGGAGGAGATTCGCGAGCTGCTGGAGGTGCAGGCTGTCGCCCGGCACCCCTTGCACCGACGCGCATCGGGACGAGTGGCGCAGACGGCAGCGTTCAGCGCGAGACCGCTCACGCCGCGGCCCGCGCCCTGTCTGCGCAGGACAAGGATGTGGAGAAGAAGCAGGAGGCGATGAAGACGCTCATCACGCTGCAGCTCAACGGCGCGCGCCCCACCGCCCGCGCCTGCCGCCCGCGCTCCGCGCGGTGGCCAGCGGCCGCCGAACTCCGCGCCGCGCGGGCAGACAGCCCGCATATCTCCCACGCCTCTCGCCGCGCCAACCCAGCGCCTCTCGCCGCTCCCGACGCTCCCGACGCTCCCGACGCTCCCGCTCGCTCCCACCGCTCGCTCCCGACGCGCTCTCCCTCCACTCGCTGCGTTTTTGCGATGCAGGCGAGCCGATGCCCAAGATGCTGATGGTCGTGATCCGCTTCATCGTGCCGAGCGACGACCACAAGCTCAAGAAGCTGCTACTCATCTACTGGGAGGTGATCGACAAGACCGGCCCCGATGGCAAGCTGCTGCCAGAGATGATCCTCGTCTGCAACAACCTGCGCAACGACCTCTCCCACCCCAACGAGTACATCCGCGGCTGCACGCTGCGCTTCCTCTGCAAGCTAAAGGCACGGCCACCCTCCCAGCCCACCCACCTACCACTCACACACACGCACACGCACACACACGCAGCGCGAGACCGAGAGCGGAGATCAGCTCTCCCTCGCACGCACTCGCACCCACATCACCATGAACCCCGCCCAGCCGCCGACCTCCAGTGAGGACGAGTCCACGCCACGGCCCGCGACGCGTCCGCCCGAAACGCGTCCGCCAGGCGCCGACCGAGGTAGAGATCCTCGAGCCGCTGATCCCGACCATCAAGAACAACCTCGAGCACCGGCACGCGTTTGTGCGGCGAAACGCCGTGCTCGCCGTCTATTCCATTTTCAAGTCGTTCGAGCCCCTGATCGCCGACGGCACCGCGCCGATCGAGGCGGCGCCGCGCGCCGGAACCTTCCGCCAAAGCGTCGCGGAACCTTCCCGTAGGCCCCGAGCTGGTGGAGGCGGTGCTGCAGCAGGAGCAGGACGCGTCGTGCAAGCGGAACGCCTTTCTGATGCTCTTCCACTGCTGCTCCGAGCGCGCCGTCGCGTACCTCTCCGAGAACCTCGAGCAGGTTGCCGGGTGGGGAGACATCCTGCAGCTCGTCGTGCTCGAGCTCATCCGCAAGATAGTGCGCGCGAACCCGTGCGCACAGTCGCGGCACGACCGCCCTCTCCTCGGAGCCTCCTCGCCAGCGCGTCCCTCGCCGCCGTCTCGTAGGTACGAAAAGTCGCGCTACATCCGCTGCATCCTCACGCTCTTCGCTTCCGAATCGGCGCCCGCACTGCCCGCCCCGCCCGCCCCGCCCGCCCGCCTCGCCCGCCCCGCCCCGCCCCGCCCGCCCCGCCCGCCGCCCCTCGCTCGCCGCCCGCGCGAACGCCTGTCGCCACCCCGGCCGCGCCGCCTCCCGCCCCACCGACGAAGCGCCCCCCCGATCCCCTCCCCTCCCCCCCTCCCACACCACCCCCCTTCCGTGACACGTCCCGACTGCGCGTCGGTCGCAGGCGGCGGTGGCGTATGAGTGCGCCTCTGTGCTGGTCGCGCTCTCGTCGTCCGCCACCGCCATCCGTGCGGCCGCACAGTCGTACACGCAGCTGCTCTCGTCGCAGTCGGCACCGCGATCCTCCGGCGGCCTCTCGGAGCCTTGCGATCTAGCCCTTCGTGAGCCGTCGAGGAGCGCTCTCCGTAGGACAACAACATCAAGCTCATCGTGCTGGAGCGGCTGCAGGACCTGAAGCGGCACCACTCGAAGGTGCTTCAGGAGATGATCATGGACATCATCCGCGCGCTGGGCTCGGCGAACCTCGACATCCGCAAGAAGACCCTCGAGATCATGCTCGACCTCATCGTGCCGAAGAACATTGGCGAGGTGATGCAGGCGCTCGCCGAGACGTGACTACCCGAGATTACACCCGAGATGACCCGAGATGACCCGAGATGGCCGGTGATGCAGGTTCTCAAGAAGGAGGTGCAAAAGACGCAGGGCGAGGAGGGCGAGAAGTCGTCCGAGTACCGCGCCATGCTCATCAACGCCATCCACAGGTCTGCGATCCGGTTCCCGGAGTCGGCGTCGATGGTCGTGCCGGTGCTAATGGACTTCCTCGGCGACGCCAACCAGTCGTCGGCAGTCGAGGTGATCCTCTTTGTGCGCGAGATCCTCGAGACCTTCCCGCACCTGCGCGAGTCGGTGATGAAGAAGCTGCTCGAGACCTTCCCAACCATCCACTCGTCGCGCGTCGCGCGCGTCGCCCTCTGGCTCATCGGCGAGTTTTGCGTCGCGGGCGAAGACGTCGCCGCCGGCTTCACCACGCTCAAGGCGTCGCTCGGCGAGCCCCCCTTTGTGCCGCCCGCGGAGGACGAGGCCGCCTCCAACGGCCCCGCAGCCGCGCCGCGCCCGGAGGGGAGACCAGTGGTGCTGGCGGACGGCACCTACGCGTCGGTCGTCGCGGCGGACGAGGCGGTGGGCGGCGACGACGGCACGCAGAGGCTGCGCGGCCTGCTGCTGGGCGGCGACTTTTTCCTCGCCACGGTGGTGGCCACCACGCTGACCAAGCTCGCGCTCCGCTCGCGCGAGCACCTGCCGACGCGGGCGGCCAACATGGTCGCCGCCGACGTGATGCTCATCCTGACCGGGCTGCTGCAGCTCGGCAAGGCGGGCGGGGCGGGCGCGACGATCGACGCGGACTCGCAGGAGCGGCTGCAGACGTACCTGCACCTGCTATCGAGCCCGGGGGAGGAGGTGCAGGCCCTCTGCTTGGTCCACTGCCGCGAGGTCTTCTCGGCGATGCTGCGCGAGCGCGCGGGCCAGGAGGAGGCGGAGAAGCCGGCAAAGGACGTCGCGCCAGAGGTGCACCGGCAAGCCGACGACCTGATCTCGGTGCGGCAGCTCAAGGGGGGCAAGTCCGACACCGCGGCGCTCGAGCTGGACGACGACGACGACCCCGTCTCCTCCGCCGCGGGCGCCTTCACCGGCGAGCTCGACTTCGCCGCGCGTCTCAAGCGCGTGACGCAGCTCACCGGCCTCTCCGACCCGGTCTACGCCGAGGCGTACGTGCTGGTGCACTCGTACGACATCATGCTGGACGTGCTCGTCATCAACCAGACGCAGGAGCCGATGACCAACCTCTGCCTCGAGCTCGCCACCGTGGGCGACCTCAAGCTCTGCGAGAGGCCGACCGCTTACACGCTGGCGCCGGGCGAGTCCAAGCACATCAAGGCAAACATCAAGGTTTCGTCCACCGAGACGGGCATCGTGTTCGGCTCGATCGTGTACGACGCGCACGGCTCGACGCCGCCGGGCGGCGGCGAGAACCGCAACTGCGTGGTGCTCAACGACCTCCACATCGACATCATGGACTACATCGCGCCGGCGTCGTGCTCCGACCTCGCCTTCCGCGCGATGTGGGCCGAGTTTGAGTGGGAGAACAAGGTTGCGGTCAACACGGACATCACCGAGGTGAAGGAGTTCCTCGAGCACGTGATGAAGAGCACAAACATGCGCTGCCTCACCCCGCCCGCCGCGCTCGAGGGCGAGTCGGGCTTCCTCGCCGCCAACCTCTACGCAAAGTCCATCTTTGGCGAGGACGCGCTCGTCAACTGCTCGGTGGAGAAGCGGCTGGACGGCAAGATCTGCGGCTACATCCGAATCCGGTCCAAGACGCAGGGCATCGCGCTCTCGCTCGGCGACAAGATTACGCTCAAGCAAAAGGGCCCGGCCTGCTAACCGCCGGCGCCCTGCGCTGTGCCTCGCCGCGGACCGAGCGTCCGAGCGGCGGCGCGAGCAACTCGTGTGCCTGCGAGCAACTCCGTCGTGTTCCACTTTCTAGATACATAGTATGATGAGGGGAAAATCCGGTCCGACTTGCGAGACCGCCTATCGGCGTATCGCAAAAAAATAATCCAATCGCGGCTGGGCAGCTTGGCTAGCGGGTAGCTCGGAGGTGTAACGAATTGACACCGGTCGGGGGGGAAACCTCTTGAGATTAATTCTAGCCGCCTCGAGAGAGGTTGCCTGGCTTAGTGGGGCGGATCCCTGCGAACCAGTGCACCAGGGTTCTCTTCCCTGGGGCCGTAGTTCTCGGACTAGCACACAGTCCGACCCTGTCCTTGGTGTGTGTGTTTCACGCTAAGATCTACGTCTGGCGGCGCGCTCTCCTCTGGCGGCGGCGCGCTCTCCTCTGGCGGACGGCGGCTGGGGCGGCGGCTGGCGCGGCGGCGATGGCGGCAGGGGCGGCGGCGAGGGCCGGCGGCCCCCACCAGCTCCACAGGGCCGCCGCTCCCCCCGCCGTACCCGCCACCGCGCGACATGCGGCCACAGACGGGCGGCGGCGGCGGCGCCTACTAGTTCGAGGTCGACTACCCCACCGGCTACGACTACATGACCGTGATCTGTACCACACCGGGTTGACCGGTCTCCTCTAGATCGAGACGTCGTACATGAATGGCATCCTCCCCCCCGAGTTACTTTGTCCCTCCAATTGGACCGCGCCGGCCTGTCCCACCGACTGGGGGCGGGCAAGGCACGGTATATAAATTCATGCCTACGGTGGCCCTGAGAGCTGCTAGTGGCGGCGAGGGAGGGACCCGGGGGTCGCGCCACTCCGAGTGGCGCGGTCGGGCAGTGGATCGACCGCTAGAGATGATCCACCTCAGTGGATCACTCAGCGCTACGCCTACCCCCGCCCTCGCCAGAGCCGCGAGACCGGAATATCGGTGGTACGCCCTGCCAAGGGTTACACCGAGGGACGCCGCACAGCCCTGATCCACTCCGAGTGGAACGGGCGGCGTGTCGAGACGAGCCACTGCAGTGGAACATTTCGGCACGCCAGGGAGTGCGGAACCCGTAGAGACCAGACGTCGGTCGGCGGGCGCGCACGCAGGCCACGGGGGTCTGGATGCATGCCGCCACGCTTGAGATATGGGCCAGCCCCCGGGAGAGCCGGGCCCACATTAGTAGGAAGTGGTTTCCAAACGTGTGGGAGCAGTGTGCACAATAGCATGGTCCACTCCGAGTGGACCGTGTGCGTGCCTGTCGGAGCCACTCAGAGTGGCTCGACCTGTGGGATGTGCATACGCCCTTCGCCTCGGGGTTGCAGTCGGTGCGTGACCGTGTGTTGCGTAAGTATGTACCTGGCCAATGGGGCTAGCCGACGGAGGTGGGGCGGAGGGACCGCCCCCGAGGAAGAGACATCAGAAACGACTGCAGAGGCAGTGGCAGCCCAACGAGTCGCCCGAGGGGTGGACCAGGGTTGGGAAGGGCGGCATGCCGGACAGGTTCACCATGAGGAACCCTGGCCGCAAGCCGCCGGGCAAGGCGGTCAAGCGCAAGCCTGACCGCCAGCCCGCACCCAAGGGAGGTGGACCCCCACCCCCCTCTCCCAAGGTGAACAAGAACAGGCTGAGCGCGCTGGGCGCTGGCCCTTCTGGCACCAGCGGGAGCCACGAGCGCGCACCACCGCGCTCCCCCTCCCCCTCCTCGCCGCCTGCCAAATCACCGCGGCCGTCTGTGCCTGCTTCCGAGTATGACTCCGAGTTCGACTTTTCCGACGCTGAGGGAGGCGCAGGATAGGACGGCAGGGGTCGTACACGACGCAGTTCAGCAGGCTGTGATGCAATACGGCTATGACGACGAGCTCTTCCAGGCGTGGAGGGACGGCGAGATACGGCGAAAGGACTTGCCGGAGGAGGTGGTGGCTATGGCTTTGGACCTTTGCGAGAGGTGGCGAGCGGAGCAAGCGCGGTGTAGGCGCGTCCACGCGGCGCAGCGGCTCTCCCGCGACCCCGGCCCCTCTCATAGCCGCAGCCGTAGCCGCAGCCCTAACTCTTGCCGCTCTTCCGTGTCGGGTTGTGACGAGGGGTGAGGGGACACGGATTGAGAATCCCTCACACCAAGATCGTGCAGGGCGGGGACACATGTCCCTAAATCCCATCTCGTCTCAGAGTTTGCCCGTTTTATTTATTTATTTAAGTGCTCCAAGTGCCAATAACTCAAACATATCCTTAACACTAAGGCTTTTTGCTCAGTCTGGGGGTGGTTAGGGCGTCTACAATCTGGTACGGCGGCGATGCTCCTCCAAGGTCTGCATCACGTAGTCGCGGTAGGCGGTGTGCGACCAATCAGGCTGCCCATACGTAGACGCCGCCGGCTCCTGCTCCCGCGCGAGCAAGCTGCGCCGTGACTCGCATTGCGAACTGCAGCCATGACACGAGCGACAGCAGAAGCCCTGCATCCATGGTTCGCCGCATTTTCCCCACCGCACCTGCTGCTCGCAAGTGTAGCGCGTGTTTGAGGGCACGTCGGAGCAGTCACTACACGTGTCCGGAGGCGGCGGCGTGGCGTGCGTCAGTGCGACGGCCGATACGTTGGCATAGCCCTGGAGCGACGCCATGCCCGCAAAGAGGGTGGGCTGCGACACCGCCGTCCACCCCCACGCGCCGGCGTAGGCATGGCTGTGCGCCCAGCCATACAGCTGCTCAGCGGTGCGTCCCTCGGCTTTCTGACCGAGCACAAACTCGCCGATGAGCAGCGGAGCGGAGACGCGGAAGTCTGCCTCCGAGTGAAGAAACGGGGAGGTGGGGTTGAACTTGCCTTTGTGGGCATACGAGTGCACCTGAAGAAAGTCGAGTCGAGCCCCAGCCGCCGCGGCCGCGCCGACCGCTCCGCGAAGGCACTCGTCGGTGTAATAGTTGCGCTTGCCGAGGGCGTCGGAGGAGGCGAGCTCCGACCACGACCCGACCGTGACCAGGGAGGCGGGGGCAGCGGCGTGGATCGCCGCCGCCTGGGCACCCACGAAGCGGAGCACCTGCTCCATAGGTATGGGCTCGGTTGGCTGCGCCCAGCCCGCGCCAGTGCGAGCGAGGGGGGTGGTGTCGTAGCACGGGTTCGGGTCGGCCACGTCCGCAGCGACGGAGCCCTCAGGCTCGTTGATGACGTCCCAGCCCCCAAGGGCGGGCTCGTCGCGCAGCGAGCGCACCATCGGCACGAGTACGGTGTCGATGTAGCTGTCCAGTTTCGACATGTCGGAGAAGAGGTCCTTCACGCGCTGGTGTTTGAGAACCGCGCCATTCCACAGCACGAAGAAAATGAGGATGTCGAGCTGTCGCGCCGCGCGCAGGTAGCGGCGCATGTCGGAGATGAGCGATCCCGTCGAGTCAGTGGCGACGACCACCCCGTCGGCATCGAACACGGGCGTTTTGTAGCCCTCCACGTGAAGCCAAACCCTCATCGAGTTGCCGCCTGCCCTCGAAGTGTTGACGAGCACGTCCTTGAGGGCACAGAAGTGAGCGTTGCTCTGACCGTTGCCAAAGTCGTTGCCGTACCGAAGCCAGGCCAGGTTTACGCCCGACAGGAAAACCGCGAGGGTGCGGTTAAGAACCGTGAGCCGTGCCGAAGGCGGGGAGGAGGGCGGCGGCGGCGAGGAGGGCGGCGACGGCGGCGGCGAGGGCGTTGATCGCGAGGGCGGCGGCGAGGCCGGCGGCGATGGCGGGAGAGAGGGCGGCAGCGAGGGCGGCAGCGAGGGCGGCAGCGAGGGCGGCGGCTGCACAGCTAATGGTGGCGAGGGGAACTTCGTACCAAGAACATCCGCCACCGCTGTTGCCTTCTGCCCGTGAGAAAAGCCCACAGCGATTGCGACCGCAGCAGCACTGACAACAAAAAGAGAGCAAGCGATTCTCACTGCAAGCCTGCTGCTCACGCGCAAAGTGATGGTGATATCCTCGCTGTCGAAAGCTTCATACCTTGTCGAAGGTTTCGCCGCCACTGGGTGCACTGGCGGGGCAGTTCCTGATCCATCCGCCTCAACTCCCCAAGTACTTGAGGCAGCCTCATGCTTCGGCTCGACAGTCGGCTCAGCCGTCGGCTCAACGTTTGGCATCGGTCCCGTTTATGATAGAGCGCGGCATATAACGCACGGGCCCTCAGCGGAGCTGGGAAGAGGACCGCCGCAAGCGGCGTGGCGTGGAGCGGTTGTGCATCCCTCCGGGGGCCCCTCTGCGCCGGGGAGGCGTTGTTGGAGGCTAGGACGCAAGCGTCCGTCGCCCTTTTCAAACTCGGGGCCCACTCCGCTACGCTCCGACCCGAATTTGGAGGGCCTAAAAGTTTAAGGTGTTGCTGCGCAAAAGGGGTCGGACACAGGGCGCAGCTCATGCTAAGAGCTAGAAGAGGAGATAGAGAGACAACCACACCAACCCCACAAAGCTCTCTCTCCTGCTCCTCACTCACGAGGGGTCACAACTACCGAGTTCCTAGAGTCTAGCTGCCACGTTCAAAACCAGGACGGCGACAGTGATGGTGCTATCACGGGCATGATCAGGGGAAAGTGGAGCGGGGGGGGTGAGCGTCAGCCAGCCAGGTACGGGATAGTAGAGCAGGTGCTTTGTGGGTGGCGGTGGGCGGCGGCGCTGGGGGGCTGGCCGAAGCGTTAGCTGAGCTCCTCCCTCAAGCTCGAGCACGCATGACGCACGTTGAGTGACAACGTCGGCGAGCTTCTGGATCAGGTTAGGTTGCCGGAGCACCCATGGCTGCACCTCCAACTCCTCCTCTGAGTCAGACACGACAATGTCAACTGCGCCCTCCTCCTCCCATTCGTCGACTGCGCCCTCCTCCTCCTCAGGAAACTCTTATACAGCCCCACCCCGCTAGCAGCGAGGTCTGAAAGAAAGAAAGGAAGGAAGGAAGCTACATCCCAAACTCGCGAGGAGGTTAGATGTCCCGCCACTTTCAACGCCGCGAGGGCGGCCTGTGATAAATTCTTTTTTCGCACGACCCTAGCACCTGTGTTAGTGCCAGTGCGCGCCAGTCCCGTGCCTAGTGACGTGCGAGGGATTGAGTTCTCGATTTTTTTAGTGCCAGTGCGCGCCAGTCCCGTGCCCAGTGTAAAGAAAGAAAGAAAACACACAACCCAAGGGAGGGATGGGAGGACGGCACGCCGCCACCACACAGGGATTTTAAGGAGCCCAAAAAGAAAGAAAGAAAACAGACAAGCCCAGACGAGGGATGGGGGAGGAGGACAGGGTCCCCACCTGCACGAGCAGGATTTTGGAAGGACGATCAGGGGGACAGGTGGGGCTCTCCTGCTCCTGACAAGGGACACGACAGGCTCGCAGCGCGGTGCACGGTGGGCTCCCAACTCCACTGGCGGTCTCATCTCAGTCTAGTGACCTGCCTCCAGCTTCCCGCTGGCAGTCTCTCACTACCACAGGCACACTGACATTAAGGAGCCCAGTGTTGTGCGAGCACCAAAAAATTCTTTTTTGCTGACGCGGGCCCAGTACCTCGATGAGGTGACTTGGACCACCAAGAGCTGGCTGGGGCTGCAGAAGCAGCGCATCTCAGTCGTTCCACACGGCCATCGCAGAGCAGGTCGTGAATGAGCTTGCCTGTGGCGGGGGTGGGCGGGTGCACGGAGCTAAGTGCCTCGCCACCCTCGCAGGAGTCGCTTAGGCGGCTCCCGTGGTGTACCTGTGTTAGTGCCAGTGCGCGCCAGTCCCGTGCCCAGTGTTGTGCGAGGGGGGTTGTAAAATTCTTTTTTGGAGGGGCCTTGCTCTTCGGCGGCTGCCCGCCCGGTCTGTGGCGATGGCGGACGGCGCGCTGCCACGCGAGCCCGGGGCCAGCGACACGCCAGACCTTGGCCAGGCCGACACCATCGACGCCGGCTTCGTGCTCGACAAGCTTCGGACGCGGCACGCGCACGACGCGATTTACACGCGCTGCGGCTCCGTGCTCATTGCTGTCAATCCGTACAAGAGGATGGGCCTCTTCTCGGAGGCGGTGCTCGCGCAGTACAAGAATGCCCACTCGCTCCCAGCCGAGCCGCCGCACACCTTTGAGATTGCGAGTGCGGCGCACCGGGCGATGATCCACAACGGGCGCAGCCAGGCCATCATTGTGAGCGGCGAGTCGGGGGCCGGGAAGACCGAGTCCGCGCGCCACATGATGCTCTACCTCCGATACGTCAGCAACACCAGCCCGGAGCTCGAGACCCGCCTCTACGGCTCCGACCCCATCACCGAGGGCTTTGGTGCGGCACCCAGAGGGCACCGTGAGAGCCCGCAGTCCCTGGGCCGCCGGCGTCACACGGCTCGCCGCGGCCCCCCGCGCTCACTCCGCTCCTCTCTCACCACCGCGGTGCCTGGGCGGACAGGCTGCGCCAAGACGGTGCGCAACGACAACTCGTCGCGCATGGGAAAGTTCACGGCGCTCAACTTTGACCCGAGCGCGCGGATCCAGGGCGCCAGCCTCAACACCTACCTCCTCGAGAAGACCCGCGTCACGCAGTGCGGCCCGGGCGAGCGCTCGTACCACTGCTTCTACGCGCTGTTGCGCGGCGCGTCGCCCGCTCTGCTCAAGCAGCTGCGTCTGCCGTCGGCCGAGCCGAGTGCGTACGCCTATCTGGCGGGCGGCCATACCGGCGAGTCGGGCGGCGAGCGCACCGACAAGATGCTGTGGGCGGAGCTCGAGACGGCGCTCGCCGCGCAGGCGTGGGAGGGCGCGGCGCTGCAAGAGCTGTGGCAGCTCATCGCGGGGGTGCTGCTCCTTGGCAACGTGCGCTTCGACGCGGCCAACACGGACGCGGCGGCCGTCGAGGGTTCGAGCGCGCCCTCCGTCGCGGGCTGCGAGGCGGTGCTTGGCCTGCAGCAGGGCAGCCTCGCAAAGGCGCTGACGAAGCGCAAGCTCAAGGTTGGCGGCGACATGGTGGAGAAGGACCTGAGCCTCGTCGCGGCGGGCGACAACCGGGACGCCCTCGCCAAGGCCATCTACTCGAAGCTCTTCGACCGCCTCATCGTCCAGATCAACCGCGCGCTCGCCGAGGCGCGCAACATCTACTCGCCGCGGGCGACCGCCCACGTCATCGGCATCGTCGACATCTTCGGCTTTGAGATCTTCGAGAAGAACTCGCTGGAGCAGCTGTGCATCAATTTTGCGAACGAGAAGCTGCAGGCGCTCTTCACCAAGACCGTCTTCGCCGAGACGATGCGCGCCTACTCGGAGGAGGGCATCGACGCCGCCGACATCTCTTACACCGACAACGGCGCGCTCATCCAGACGCTCGAGGCGCCAAACACGGGGCTGCTCGCCATCCTGAGCGAGGAGTGCGTCGTGCCAAAGGGGTCGGACGAGGGCTTCACCGAGAAGGTGATGGCGCAGCACGGAAAGGGCGGCATCATCGTGCGCATGAAGGGCGTCGGCCCAAAGGACGGCTTCGGCATCAACCACTTTGCCGGCCTGGTCAACTACGGCACCCGCGCCTGGCTCGACAAGAACAAGGACCCACTCAACGGCGACCTCGTCGTGCTGATGCAGTTCTCCGACAACGAGCTGCTCAAGGAGCTCTTCACCGAGCCGGCGGACGTGGCGCCCGCGGCGGGCGACCGGAAGAAGTTCAAGTCGACCAAGTTCAAGGGCGTCACCGACACCTTCTCGGCGCAGCTCACGGACCTCGTCGGCACGCTCGACAAGTGCGACCTGCACTTCGTGCGCTGCTTCAAGTCCAACGACCAGAAGAAGCCCGACCTGGTCGAGGACGCCGTCATCACGCGCCAGCTCAACACGTCTGGCGTGCTCGACGCGCTGCGTGTCGCCCGCACCGGATTCCCCGACCGCATGCCCTTTGACGAGTTTTGCGGCAACTTCCTCGTGGTTCCCGGTCTCGGCACCAAGGCGGAGCTCGCGGGCAAGGCGCCCAAGGACCGCGTGCTGGCGCTGCTCCAGAAGCTCGGCGTGCCCGGCCAAAAGTTCCGCTGCGGCAAGGCGCGCGTCTTCTTCGCCTCGGGCATGCTCGAGGGCCTGCGCACGCGCCGGCTCGAGATGCAGGCAAAGGTCGCCGTCGCCATTCAGGCGGCCGGGCGCGGCCACATCGCCCGCAAGGCGGCGCGTCAGCTGCGGCGTGTGCGCGAGGAGGCGCTGCAGGCGATGCTGTCCGCTGCGGCGCAGGAGGATGTCGAGGCGCTCCGGGCGGCCATTGCGGACGCCCGGGCCGCCGGCGTGCATCGCTACGCGGCGGGCGAGGCGAGCGTCGCCGGCGCGGAGGAGCGCGTGGCGGCGCTCGTGGCGGAGCTGCGGGCGCGAAGGGAGGCGGAGGGTGCGCTGGAGAAGGCCATCGGCGCGGCCGATATAGCTGCGCTCGAGGTGGCGCTGCAGCGCGCCGCCGGCTGCAAGTCGGACAGGGCGTTGCTGGAGCGCGGGGAGCGGCGGCTCGCGACGCTCAAGGAGGAGGAGAAGCGGCGCAAGGAGGAGGAGGCGAGGCTCGCCGAAATCAAGCGGAAGAATGTGGCGGCGGCGGCGGAGGCCGAAAAGAAGGTGGCCGAGGAGCGGCGGAAGCGCGAGGCGGAGATGGCCTCGCGAGACGCGGCGCTCGTCAAGCAGCAGACGGAGGCCAAGTTGCGGCAGAAGGAGGCGCGCGTGCTGCGCGTGGGCCGGGCCCCTCTCCCTCGCCCCCCCCCCCCCCCCTCCCTCTCCAATGCGACTCGCGTTGCCACTTTCAGGAGCTGATCAAGCAGCAGAGCCGGATACAGGAGGAGGCGGAGACGGCCGACGCCGAGTCCATCCGCCGCTCAGTAGCGGAGGAGGAGGAGGTGTCGCACTCATGACACCAGCCGCCCTTCCTTCGCCCCGCCCCCCACCAGCCACCCTTCCTTCGCCCCGCCCCCCAGGCGACGCAGCGCGCCATCGAGGAGGAGGAGGTGCTGCGCAAGCAGGCGAAACCCCGCGGCAACGCACGAGGCACCGCGCCTCCCGCGCGGCTCACCCGCCGCTGGGGCGCACACCAATAGGTTCTCCAGGAGCTCGAGGCGGACGGCGTGCGCTTCCGCTCAGGCACCGAGGTGCGCCGCCCGCCTCTATCGCCGCTGCGGCGGAGGTCCCCGGCTGCCCTCG